CACCCGTCTCTCCCCACTCCTATCCCATATGCACGTCCCAATCCCTTTAAAAACACTCTACTCCCCACCCAGCTCTGCCGGAGCCTGGCCAGAGGAGTCACATTCAAGAGAATGGAAACCAAGTGCAGTGCTGACCGGCTGTGTGGGATCGCCCTGGCCTTCCACAAAAGCTCTTGCCACAGTAGTTTGTTCTTAGCTCTTTTCTTAATGATTAGGTTACTTCTAGAAATTAGAGGTTTCCTTTATAGCAAGAAACTTAATCTTAAACCACTCCTCACACTCACTGGGAGGGAATAATTTTCACCTGTTCCTGTGTCTTGCCCATCTGGTTTAAACTAACAGTAATGGAAACCTGTGGATACACAAACAGAGAAATCGACCTCCAAAGTGGCTGAGAACCTCTCCCTGCTGGCTAGTTTGTGCGGTGCCAGAAGGTGTAATGCAGATTGCTGCGTGGGAAAGACAGACCTCAGTGGTCTTCTCCAGTGTTGGACCCTGCATGCTACAATAATGGCCTGCCTGGCACAATACACCTACGGGTCACACAGCGGTATGACAGTTATAGGGTAACCAGCTGCTTTCTGATGTGCTGAGGCCTGTTTGACAGCAGGAATTTCATACCTGGTAAACCTGGTCAAGCTAAGCCGAGAGCAAGGGAAGCCTGTGACAGTCAGAATGATGCCTCACAGATTCACATCCACAAGAAGCTGCAGCGTTGACAATCGCGATTGACCGGCTGACAAGTTGGCTGGGACAGGTTCCTCAGTCTCCCTAAGCCCTCTGCTTCCAAAGCTGGGAATGCCACCACGCTGCACAGGCCTTGGGCCAGAGTCCATCTGCTTTGTCCCAGCCCGTGGGCTCATCATCAGCTCTGCCGAGTTCAGTTGTTTCCCAAGAGGGCAGCTAACGAAAGGGAACTTTTTGATTTTTTTTTTTTTGGTTGTTGTTGTTGCTAGTTTTTGCTGGTGTGTGTGTCTATGTGACGCATCCCTTTGGATGTGGGAACATGTATGCGTGCTCCTGGGGGAGGGCAGAGGCTGACATTGCATGTCTTCTACAACTGCTCTCCACCTTTTTTTTCAAACAGGGCCTCTCACTGAACCCAGAGCTCACCAGTCGGCTGGACTGGGATCTGCCTCTATCTTCTTCCTCAGTGCAGAAAATAAAATTTGACAATTAGTGGGTGCTGAAGTCTTAATTCAAGTCTCTATGTTTACAACATAGACACTTTACCCACTGAACCATGCCCCCAAGTCCTTTCTGTGTGCTTTCTGAGACAAGTGGAGCCCAGACTCACTGAACTCTCATGGATGCTCCTGCGTTAGCCACCCCAGTCCTGGGGTGATAGTCTGTGCCAATAAGTCTAACCAGAGGCAGCACAGCTGCCAGAGAAAAGGCACTGTGCTCCGTCAGTAAGTATTCGTCCAGTTCCTAAGAAGAGCAAGCATCGAGACGCGGCAGTGGCCAGTGCGTGGTGACTCTATCCTCCTTAGTTCAGGTGTGGGTGAGAGCAGATGGCAGAAAAATAAAAATAAAAAACGTGAAAGCTGCCCAGGAGTCAATGATTTCTCAGCATTAGGAAAAGTAATGACCTTCTCTAGTTTTATAGAAATATGTAATTTTAAAAAATTCATGACTTACCCCAAATACATCAAGCAGTTTATTTTCAATGTATGTATTATTGTAAGTGTGTGCAAGAACCATGTGTATGAGTGCAGGTCCATGGATGCCACAGCACATACGTGGCAGAGGACAGTTTGGTGGACTCGGTTCTCTCCCCACCTTCATACAGGTTCTGAGGGTTGGAGTCAGGATGTCAGGACTGCACGGCAAGGGCTCTCCCGGCTGGGCCATCTTGCCAGCTCCTGAAGCTTATTTTTAAAAATTAAATTCCAAGGGCTGAGAAGCCTCCCTCAGTCAGGAAAGTGTTTGCCACACAAGCACGGGAACCTCGAGTTCAATTTCCACAAACCATGTAAAACACGTAGGCATGGTGGCATGTGCTTACTGCTAGCATCCAGACAAGCCTGGCCCGGCGCCAATGAGAACTTCCAGAGTGTGGCATGCGCGGCTTCACACTGTGTGCAGAGTAGGCAGTACCTTGCCTCCTTAAAAGGCGAAACTCCGCCTACTTCCCTCCTCTTCTTCCTTTCTCTGCATCTCTCTCTTTCCTCCTCCTTTCCTCCCCCCCACTCCACCCTGCTCCTTTATCTCAATAAAACCCTCCACTTAAAATCTATCCGTAAGGCGTATTTGTCTCTCATCCTCCTTGACCTCTCACCCCCGGGGTTTGGACCCACCCGCAGAATCCTACCACCTATAATCCCTGTGCTGGGGAGACAGAACAGAAGGACCCCTAGGGCTCACTGGCCCAGCCAGTCTAACCTACTTGGTGAGTTCCAGGACAACAAGAGAGGGGACACTTTCTCAAAACCAACTGGGAGGCACCTGAGGAATTACAGTCAGTTTTTCTATGGCCTCCAAACGCCATCCAACTCCCTGGGGTAGAAGCACTAAGGGCGGGGCTTTCGGTGGCATGTCCCTAGATGATCCAACACAAAGTCACTGAGCAGCAAGGCAAGGGTCAGAGGGATGTGGAAAAGCATGCCCTCGGTTACCCTGAAACATGGCCTAAGGAGACTCTACAACAAGGAGGAGCATCCTTCCTTCTCTGGCTCCAGATGGCTTAGCACCCACAGCCCTTCAGCAGGTCTGCCACCCACTTGAAACTGTTGTTGTACCCTCCTCTGGAACCAGGACATGGAATTAAGAAAGTGAATCATGTCCCTAACAAGCAACCAACAAATAGTCTTGAACTGCGGACTGTCACGGTGACAGCAGCACTTCTGCTGATCTCCTGCCCGCATCTGAGCCCATGCAAAGCTCCATGGTGCCAACTGAGCTTTCAAAGGTGGCAAGGAAAGTCACGGTAAGGAATACAAGTCTATCATAGCTATTCAGTTGAGCCTTCAGGAGGTGGGGTCCCCTAGATCACCACAAACTGACAAACCTAGATGCCTTCCCTGCAGTTAAGTTTCTCCTTCCCAGCAGATGACTCAGAGGCTAAGAGCACTGGCTGCTCTTCCAGAGGTCCTGAGTTCAATTCCCATGTGAGCACCCACATGGTGGCTCACAACCATCTGTAATGAGGTCTGGTGCCCTCTTCTGGTGCACAGGCAGAACACTGTATACATAATAAATACACCTTTAAAAAAAAATCTTGGCCAGGTGGTGACAGTGCACACCTTTAATCCCAGTACTCAGGAGGCGAAAGGCAGGCAGATCTCTGAATTAGAGGCCTGCCTGATCTACAAAGTGAGTTCCAGGACAGACTCTATAAAGTTACAGAAAAATCCTGTCTCAAAAAACAAAAAACTCCTTCCTAAACATTCCACAAAAACCTGGCTGTTAGTGACACCTGAGAGCTTGGGCTTAAGTTTTCTACTCTGAAGGGCTGGGAATCCGACGCACAACCTCAAATACTCTAGGCAGACACTATCCAGCACTGAACAACAGCCCGAGCCCTCCCTTTGTACACAACTACAGTTATGATGAGGTGGAGGCGGAAAGGACGGCGATCTGTGGTCCAGGCCCCTTGCCACACATTAGGAGATTGATGAGGGGCAATCTCCCTTTTGTGACAAACTCTAGGGAGTTTTCTATGACCTCTCTCTTCCACCTTGGTATCCAATGCCAGAAAATTCTCCTTATGGCCTACGAAATTCTCCCACCCACTGTGCTGCCTCCCCTCCTCCCACTCCCATGAAGCTAAGTTTCCCATAACAAGTTTGCAGAAGACACCTGCGCACTCCATGGCCTCTGCTGGAAATTCTGATCACTTCCATCTCCATCAGAATGACCCCTGCATCCCCAGAAAGACCAGCCTACCATTCTTAGTTCTCCAGCCTCAGCCCTTTTTATTCCCTCATTCCCTGCATTTTTCCTTTTCTTCATAAGCTATCTCTGCTTCTAGGTCTAACCATGTGTCTCTGGGGCAAAGGATTGCAATCCTTTGCCCCAGAGACACCTATGCTTGGCACTGAAAGTCCTCTGAACCCAGAGCCCTACTGAGGACTTTTTCTCTAACCTCCAAGCCTAGCTTAAAAGGCACTTTTCCTCCATCTCCTTTCCTTCTAGGGGATGTCAGCATTTTCAACTAGTGTCTCAATCCTCAATGAAATTACCCTCAAGCTTCCTTCTGAGTCAGTTGTAAATTGTTTTGTTAATGAGACTAAGAACTCAAAGAAGACCCGTTGTTGACCCCTGCTCTCTGCTTCAATGTTCCTGCCCTCACTTGCAGGGCTTGCTCAAACTGTATCTCTCTCCACCGCCCTCCGCCCCAAACACACACCAGTTAAAACTTTCAACTCTTTTTTTAAAAGTCTATAATTTACTATGCCAACTATTAACGCACTACAAGAAGCGCCAAGGCTGCAGAGATTTACCTGTCCTCTGCTGCGTGCCCAAGGTCTAGAAGCCTGAACCCATCAGGCCAAATGTTTAAAAAACATGTAAGAAGAAAAGTTATTCACTTAACAAGGGCTTGTTGGGCAGCTCTTCCCCTGCAAGACATCCCACTGCCTCCGCCTTTAGAAAGTGCTGAGAGGACACTGGATCGTGTTAGGGGTGCAGAACTGAAAACCACGCACAATGTGCACAGGTCAAAGAATGTGCCAACCATTCAGAAGAAAAGGCTTGGGCATGGGCTTGATCCAACGGGTCACTGACGCGCAGAGCGCCAAGGGTTTTTTCCTGGATTCCCTTAAAGGTGTCGCGACATTCCACTTTCCAAACGGAGAAGTTACTAGACCAGAAATGCAAATTCCGGCCTCTTCCCAACCGTCTTGATATTTAAAGAGACAGAATCATACTAATTTCTACTCTCCTGCAGCAGCACCCCATTCCACGCGACCTCAGTTCCTGCCTAGCTCCAGCCCAACCGCCCACACTCCAAATGCTCCCCACGCCGCCCCAGCCCAAAAACCCGTAATGCTTCCCACCTGCTCCCGGCGTGCCCCGCGGTTCCTCCCCACGCGTGCGCAATAAACTCCCTCTTGGGTCCGGGAGGGACTGGAGCTCCGGCCTAGGATGGACACGCCTCCGAAAGCAGATCTGACTTCTGATTGGCTGCAGGCGCTCGCCCGAGCTCGTTGGAACGCAGGGACGGTGCATTTAAAGGCGCTTACCCTGTGCTCTCAGGAACTTGAAGGCTGCCTGCTTACACTTGCTCCCGCGCTTTCGCCATCCAGGTCACCTCGCCAGCATGTCTCAGGTACTGCGCGCGCCCTGCCGGGCTGCGAAGGTTCAATGGGTTTGGGGAAATCAGTTCGCAGGAACCCCGCGGGGTATCTTTCCCCCAACACTCCCCCCCCCCCTCATGCTAGGCTTCTGCTCTGGGATCCGAGCCCAGCTCATAGCCTGGGGAGCGGAACTTTTTTCCTTGCAGATTTCTGAAACAGCCACCCACGCCGGAACTGCTGGAGAGTTGCAAGTGGGCTGGACTCCCGGGTGAAGCAGGCACAGGGTCCTCGAAAGAAAGATGGGGCAATAAGAGGATGAAGGGCAGAGAAAATTGAATCCCATACAGGGAAGGACCGGAGTGGGACAGTGGGACACTCATGGAGGCCCTGACTGGGGAACCTGGATGTCGGGGGAGTAATTAGCCTTGTGCCTGGCTTGCCCTTCTACAGAAGAGATGCGACTAGGTGAGGTGGCCCAGAAGCCTTTTCCTTCCCTCTATTGGGACCCCTGTCCGGGACCGATTCCCTGTAGCGTGATTCCTGGCTCCTCCCACTTGCTTGTCCCTAATCTGGGCACTGGGACAGAGGTCAACGCTGAACTCCAGGCCCCAGTAAGAAGGAACCAGTGGGCGCCTGACCCTGGATTCCACTGCATTCGTGGCCTGAACCCTGATTGACTGTTCTGATCACTCCACGTTTCCTCTCACTGCCCCCTCTATCTCCTCTGATCATAGGTCAGGGCCTTGCCGGAACTCCCAGCAATTGCTGGATTTGAGCCAGCGGTGGTCAGACAGTTGGGCAGAAAAAAAGTTTAAGGGTGTGTACTTCCACTGTAAATCGGGTCTATTTCCAGCACTCGATCCAGTGCTGTAACTGCATAAGCGGACAGGTGGACCTTTGCCCAATCTTGGTGCGGGCAGAGTTTGCGAGGAGTGCCGCATTCCCTCCCCATCCACCCCTGGACCGCTCCCACTTAGCCCCCATCCCGTTCCTCTCCCTCTCACCCAGGCTGAATTCGACAAAGCTGCCGAGGAGGTGAAGCGCCTCAAGACTCAGCCAAGTGATGAAGAGATGCTCTTCATCTACAGCCACTTCAAACAAGCCACCGTGGGCGACGTAAATACAGGTATGCTCAGCTTCTCATCAGAGCAGGCCGAGTTGGCTCGGCAGCCCAGGAGTCTGAGAATCTCACTTTCCAACTGCCCAGGGCCCTAAGATTTGGGCGGGTATGGTGACAGATCAAAGCTGGGAGGTTTCACCTGCAAGACCATCTTCCTAAATTCTTTGCGTGACCCTGGGAGCAAATTCAGTCTGATTTTGGGAGGACTTTACCTATTATCTCAGCATCTACTGTGAAGGAAGCAAAGGTCCCAGAGAGGAAGCTTGCTCTAAGCCATGTTGCCCAGTAGTAGCTTTGTTGGGCTTACTGTTCCCATTAGAGAACAGGGTCATCGAGCACTTGGCAGCCGCCCCAAGCCTAATAGATGAGCATGGACATCTCATCTATTGGGGCCAGCTGGAAGTGGTGATGGCCAAAGTCTGCACCTTCCAGATGACTTTTTCCCCCTCTTAAGATCTTGGTGCAGCGTCCAGAGCATGTGCATGTGGGGGCCAGAGGACAGCCTGGAGTATTGTTTCCATGGGCACCATCCACCTCCCCCAGATCCCAGAGACCAGGATCTGCCTGTCTCTACCTCTCCAGCACTGGGCCGCCCTACCCCACCCCATTTTTTTTTCCACATTTTTTTTCCACATGAGTTCTGGAACTAGAACTCAGGTCCTTATACTTGCAAGGTAAGCCCTTTGTTGGCTGACCTATCTCTCTAGCCCTTTGGTACAGATTTTGAAGCTATGCTGTGGATTACCTTGGTCTATAATATTGTTTCTGCCACTGCCTTGGGCAGTAGCTGTGTCCTGAGACAGCAGCACAGTGTGTTCTAGCAAAAAGAACTCAAGACAGCATAGAAAGAAATGTACTCCTCAGCCACCCACCAAGTGTGGCCTCCAATTCCACTGGGCTGGAGTGGCAGGCCCAGCAGGTCAGAGCAGAGGGCTTATAAACATCCAGGAAGAAGAAGGTAACGGGGAGGCCAGGATGCTTTGCTGCCAGATAGTGTTTTGTCACAGCCTGGCCTCTGGCCAGGCTAGAGGTATTTGCTGGCATATGAGCATCAGTAGACTGGCTTGGAATCTATCCCTCCCTGAACAGGACACTGTTGTCTCTTTTTCGGCTGTACTGTCCAATACAGCGAAGACTAGCCACTTGTGGCTGTCTAAGTTTTAGCTGCAAATGGTTTTACCCAAGCAATGCGCAAAACAGTCTGTAGCTGCGTGAGCTGTGTTTCAAGGGCTCAGTAGCCACGGGGTGAGCGGCTTCTGAATGAATGTTGCAAGGACCAGTGAATGGCTAGCAGATAAAGGCTCTGGCTGCCGCACATGGCTGCCTAAGGGACGCACTTGGTGAGAGCACTACCTCCCCAAAGTTCTCCTCTGGCATCACACACACACATGCACTCCAATACGCACATGCGCTAACCGAATGTGGCCAATATGCATGTCCATCTAGGGCGTCTTCCTCTGGGGTGGTGAGGGTACCTTCGTAGGCACAGTCTTCCTGTAAGGTTCCCAGGACTTTTTCCTCAGACTCAGTGCCCCAAGCCCCATGCTCTGCAGTTTCTGATCTTATCAATGAAATTGCTCCCCAGGAAGGATGGTGGGAGGTCTTCTCTCCCAAACCCAGGTGCTTGGAAGAAGCCTGGTCTTCATTTAAAAAAAAAAGAAAGAAAAGAAAAAAAGAAACATACAAATACCAAAGAGCTCCGCGATGTGGTGGGGAAATAGGGCCAGGTGCTAAAGCCGCTGAGCGGCAGGTGGGATCCAATAGTGTTTGTTTTCAGAATTGTCTTTGGGGTTTTTCTTGCTGTTTTATCGCCATGTGCATTGGTATGTTACCCGCATGTCTGTCTGTGTGAGGGTGCCAGGTCCCCTGGACCTACAGTTACAGACAGCTGTGAGCCGCCATGTGGGTGCTGGGCTCTCTTCAAACACGGAGCTATCTCTCCAGCCCCATTTTTTTTTTCAGAGTTTTTGAATTCTGAACCATGTGAATGAATGTTTGTTTGATTTGATTAAAGTACAGGTCTAGTTTGTTTTGAGAATTTTTTGGTCCTTTTTTCCCTCCCCCTCTGTTTTGTTTAAGCCAGAGTCTCATGTAGCCCAGGCTGGCCCAAATTCACTATGTAGCCAAAATAAAATGACCTTGAAGTTCTGATCTTCTGACTTCCACCTTACAGACGTGAATCACCAGGCCTGGTTTATCTGGTGCTGGGGATGAGGAGACCAGGGTTTGGGGCATGCCAGGCAAGCACTCTGCCAATGAAACCATATCCCTAGTCTTTTTACTATTTACTATTTTTCTGGTTTTGAAACAGAATCTCACTAAGCCAGAAAGTTTAAAGTCTGGCTTTAAACTCTCTGTAGACCAGGTAGGCCTTGAACTTCTGATCCTCCTGCCCCAGCTCCTGGTATCACAGGTGTGCACCACCAGGCCTATCAGTTTTTTGCTATGGTATTATAGTCTAGTTCTTAAGTTCTCACACAGCCTGGACTGGCCAAACACACCCTGTGTAGCTGAGATGGCCTTGAACTCCTGACCCTCCTGCCGCTTCGTCCTGAGATTGAGATTATAGGCGTGTGCCACCATCCCCTATTTACATGGCGCTGGAGCTCATCAGGGCTTTGTGCCCGCTAGGGAACTACCTACAGCCACGCCTCATCCCCAGCCCCAAAGAATGGTGTTGTTTTTAAAGTAAAACTTTGGGTTTTAAACATTTAATTTACAGTACCAAAAAAAAAAAAAAAAAAAAAAGATTTGAGAACATTTTCAGCCTGCTTTTTTCTCGATTTTAAATTTGAGTTACTATAAACCCATCTGGGTTTCTTATGCTAGAACCCTCTGTGTGAGACACTGGGAGTATATAAATAAATCAAAAGAATATCTTAGTGCTGGGAAGTGATAGCACAGACTTTAATCCCAGCACACGGGAGGCAGAAGTAGGTAGATCTGTGAGTTCAAGTCCAGCCTGGTCTACAGAGTGAGTTGCAGTACAGCCAGAGCATGGGGAAACCCTGAGGGGTGGGGGAGACGGGAATGATGTCTTGCTTTGCACGGGAAAGAAGCTGATAAAGCTCTCCATTAGAACTTGTAACAAATCTCCTGTCTGCCCTTCCCTTGTTGCAGATCGGCCCGGGCTTTTGGACCTCAAAGGCAAGGCCAAGTGGGATTCCTGGAATAAGCTGAAAGGTAACTTGTTCTGATCGACCTCCCTCCCTTGTGAGGCTGGCCGTTGAAGATTCTCAGTTCTGGAGTGGGAAGGGCAAAGGTCAGTAGGCACACCTTGGAAGCCAGCCCAGACAAGCCTAGCATGGGGAAAACTAGGCCACCTCCTCTCCCTCTGAATGTCGCTGATGCCTTTTCTAAGAGCTTTGTCTCTGAGCAGAGGTGTTATCTGGAGGGAGAGGACTTGGGGACCAGCCACTGAGAAATAGGCCAGGGAGTGACATTGATGCCATGGTCTTTGGATGTGTATAGAGTAAAGAGAGTTCTCTTCCATGCCTCTATCTCCCCAACAAGGCCAGCCAGTGACCCCTTAGCCGAGTGGCCATTCCCCAGTTCCCTTTCAGCTAGAAGGGCACATGAGAAAAGGGGATGAGGTAATGCATGGCCAGTGAATGGAACTATTATTTGCTTAGAGCACAGGCATCTAAGAGGTGTCTAGGCTCCACTAAATCACGTGTTCCCATGGCAGCA